GCAGTCTGTCTGTCCCTAGCCAAGTGGGTGGGAAATCTGTAACCCAATTAACTGCTAGGAACACAGTACTGACCCTGAGGGTCTGTGGGGGTGGCTCAGTGCCTCTGATTGGTACTTCAGGCCTTCACAGGATCTGGTGCTGCTGGTCACTACTGGGAAAGGAAATGTTTCCCAGAGCCAGACTACCACTGTTCTGAGTCTCACACCCTTGGGTTTACAAAGTCATCCTGCCTCCTATGGGAAGTGAACCTCCCTGGCCCTCCTATCTGGGAAGAAAGCTGAGGAGGCTGCAGCCAGCAGGATAGAGCCCAGAAGCCAGCGCAGGACTCTTCCTTATTTTTTTAGCTAGATTATTTCTCTCGTGCTAGTCTTCTGGCAGGTTATGATGCTAAATGTGCCTGTGTCTGTCTGGGCCTGGCTTTCCTGTGGTGGTGCAAAGGCCTTGGGGTACATGCATGCTGCTCCCCTGGGCGCTTGCGCTTGCTGAAAGGAAGCTTGTCCTCTGGACCATGGGCTGTGGAGCCCAAGACCAAGTGCTCCAGGGCTGTGCCTTCCCTGCCTCTCCTAGTGCTGCTCCACGCTCCTGGAGAGTTGTGAGTCCCCAGGGCAGGGTGCATTTGGACATCGGGGCCACCTGACCCTGTGCTCTGCCATGTCCTGGACCTGGTACTGTAACAACCATACCTCTAATTAAAGGTAGACAGACCCAAATTGCTGCCCTGTGCTTCTTTCCATGCTCTGTAGGCCAGCGTCGGTCAGTCCTGGGGTGGTGGGTGCAAATGCTGCTGCAGCAGGTGTGGGGATGCTTGGTGTCTGTCTGTGTGTGTTCAGGGGCATGTGCTGTTCCCAGGGCACCTCTCTTAGGCCGAGAAGTGGAGATGAAGGACCCAGCTCCACTGTGCTTCTCCCTGTCCTCCAGTCTGGGATTGCTGCTAACCTCAGTTCTGTAACCATGTGTGGCAAGGCTGCCCTGGGGGATCTAAGCTTCACCAAGAGGCGTTTCTATTTAGCCAAAGAAATACCCCCTTGCGTCTCCCAATTCTGAGTTAACTCCACATGCTGCAAAATCCTGCCTAAGTCTGCTGCTTCTGTGCATTAGGCAGGGTGGGAGCATGCAGGGGAGAGCAGCTCAGTGGTAGAGCTGCTGCTTTTTCTTTGCACCCACCAGGATGAGAGCATTCAATGGGGTGGGGGCTCTGCGGCAAACCAAACCCCATAAATGTTCTGGGTTAAAAATAACCCTGCAGAAAAGGGAGTGGGGAGAGAAGAGAGGCTATTTTTAACCCAGCATGCAGCAGCATTCAATTCTGGTGTTGATCTGCAGTCAGTCTGCATCAATGCAGCTGGGAAAACATGGCTCCATCCTCTCCAGCCCTGACACAAGAGCATACTTCCTGGCCAGATCCTGCTGCCCTTGTACTACAGTCCTGCTCCCCTTCCCAAGCTGTGTGCCCTCTTCCACCACTGGTTTGTGTGCCCTGGGAAAAGGAACAGTGTCTAGCATGGCAGGAAGAGTTGTGACCAGTGCAAATCTACTGGGAAGGGAAAAAACACCCTACCCCATCTTTGCTAATGCCACACGCTTGATGTCCATCTCCTCCAAAACCTACCCATGATGCTTCATTGGTGAATGAATTGTTTACATTGCTACTTTTGGTGCTCTGCATTTCTGGTGAGTGAGTCCCTTGCAGCAGCAACACATGGCTCCCAGCTTGGAAACCCCTCATTCCAATGAGAAAGTGAAGAGATTCAATGCACTTGGCTTATCCAAGAAGGGATGAAATGAATATCATGAGAAAGGATTGCTGGTAAGAAAAGTCCTGGTCAGCTGTTAGAGAGGGGTCTAAGGCTGAATCAGCTTTGGGTAATCAGGGCAGAGAAGTGCTGGAAAAGGCTTCCCTAGGACCACAAGCTGTAGTGGTCAGCACAAGGGAGGGACTGGCCTAAGGCAGAGACCCTGCTTACCTGCAGAACTGCATGGATAGTCTTGGGGTAATTGCTGCTGCTAGCCTGAGCCACAATGCATTTTGGTCATTCGGAATGGTTCAGAGGGGCTCCCCCATATCTTAAGGAGCAAAGGGCTTTTGCCATCACCTTCTCTCAGTTTCTACTGCCTGTGTGTGCCAGGGGCCATTGGAATTGGGAGCAGGGAAGACTGCTGTTATCAGGTCATCAGAGCAAAAGTAATTCCACATCAGCAGTGGTGCCATAACCTTATGTAACGAGCAGGCCAGGCCACAGGGGAAGAGCTTGGTGCCATAATGATGCAGTGGCATGATGTGGTGTCAGGCAGGCAACCTGTGCCTTGCCTGCATATGGAGCTAAGTGCAGGAGGTGGGCTAGAGCCTGTCAAGGGCTGAAAGTGCCTTTCTGAGTATTGGGGACTTTTGGAGGCACATGGGAGGAAACAGACTGGGGAACAAGATTTCTGCCTGGTTTTGGTCTTCAGAAAAAGCAGGCAGACATAAAGAAACCCCTGCTAAGTGCCACCCCTGGGGCAGCTAGTGTGGCCGGACACAGCTAAGGGTGGGGGCATAGGAGTCTTGGCAACACAGCAGCCAAATGAATGTGTCCCCAGTGGAGCTGCCCGAGTTGCTCAGGAGGCTCAAAGCTAATTGTCTTGGGGCTGTTAGAGGTGGGACAAGGTTGTGTGTGCTTGTAGAATGGTCTTGTTTGATGTGAGTGAGCCTGCAGGACCAGGGTGTGCATCGGGATGAGTGCTGGACGGAGAGGAGGACTAGTAATGGTATGGTGAAGAAGGGCAAGGGGTGGGGGAAGATAGTCTCCAGCCAGTGGCAGATGAGGAGAGAGTCCTGGCAGTGTGTCCTGGCCTGACAAAAGTATCCCTAAACTTGGGACTCTCATCAGGGCTTGTTGCTTCCCTGGGCAGTGGTACCTCCTTGGCAGCTGCTGCCTGAGCTGTTGCAGGTGATGAAGCTGTGCCAGTGCCATTTGTGCTGGTGCCCTGGGGCAAGTCAGCAACCTGTCTGAGTGTTGGGCTTGCACCAGATAGGCTCATCAGTTTGGATGAGCCAGACAGTGGTATGGGGGGATCCCTGATCCCCATGTCCTGTGAAGGACCAGGGTGGGGGGGGAGCCATGTAGTCAGCACTAAGCCTGCTTTGGGCCAGAGCTAAATCCTCAGTTGCAGGCAGACAAGAGGATGTTTGGAGCCAATTCCAGCCACTCAGCAGCAGCATGCCAGAACCTTATCAGTGCCACTCAGCCATCATCCTGGCTTGTGTCTCTGTGTCCAGGATGGCAGTGGCACTCTGCAGCGCAGCAGCTCCCTGGGGAAAATCCGGGATGTGATACGGAGGAGCAGTGAGATGTTGGTCAAGAAACTGCAGGGCAATGGTCCCCTGGAGCCCAGGAACACCAGGTAGGTACAAGGATCAGGCTGGGTACAGGGCAGGTGGGGGCCCTGACACCTTGTGGGTCTGGATCTGATCAGACACAGCATGGTCAAACCTGCTCTCCTCTGATTTCTTGTAGCATGAAACGAGCTGCATCATTAAATTACTTGCACAAGTCTAGCGATGCTTCATTTGAGGTAAGCACAGGGTGGGTGGAGGGGCTGGTACAGGAGTGGGCATTGGGGTGGCGGCCTTGTGGCCTGTGTCACAGCTGGTGAGGGGCATAATAGCGGGCCACAGGTGCAGTGCCTGAGACCTCACAGTGTGTGCGATCTGCCGCTGTGCGGTGTTGGAGCCACTCTGCCTAGGCTGGTGGTCCCATGGCACCCCTGGGCAGCTGCAGACCTCTTCCAAGGTCATAGCTCCAAACCTGAAGGTGTTGCCTCCAAGTACCCACCTCCCTGCCTGCTCAGCAACCCCTCCAGCCACAGAATGAGAGCAGAGGCAGCACTTTATGGGTCTGACAGCAGCAACACCAGGGTATCTCTGGCTTGTGAGGCAAGGGGTGCAGGAGTTGGGGTAGCAGCTTTGGGGCATGGGGTTGGACTGCAAGTACCTCACCAGCACTGTATTTTTTCTAGGGCACCCAAGGCCTCCGTGCGGAGAGCAGAGGCCTCAGCGCCAGCAGCATGGACCTGTCCTCCCACAGCTCCTTGCTCTCCTCCAACTGACCTGGCTGCTCTGCTGCTGGGCACCCTGGCTTCGCGCTGCACAGGGCAGCACCCGGCACCTCCCCACACCACCTGCTCTGTTTTCCCCATCACCGGCTCTCGTGCCACCGTCTGCCTGCCCAGCCCGGCCTCCCCCGGGAGTCCCTAGCTAGTTTGGGCACCGCAGCCCGCCCGCATGCTCCTCTGCCGCACATCGGGCTCAGCAGCCCCGGTGGCGGCTTGCTCGGTACCGGTCGCACACGCTCGCCAGGTAGAATCGCCAGCCCGGGGAGGGGGGGCGGGCTATCCCCCGGCCGGGGCAGTGGCAGAAGTGCCCCGTGCCCCCAGACGTCGGTCCCCCGCCGGGTGATCGCTGTACTTTATTTTATTAAATAAAACCGACCCTAGAAGCGACCGCGGCTCGGCCTGAGGCGGGGTGGGCGGGGGGGAGCGGGCGCCGCCTGGCGGGGGGACTGCGGCGACTGTCCGCGCGCGGTCCGCCGGCGCGCCAGGGGGCGCTCCCGCCGAGGCGCTGCTGCTCCCGGCGCCGTTCCCGGCGGACGCGATGGCGCGGATCACGCTGGAGGACCTGGAGCGGCTGGGCGAGGAGCCCGCGGCCGTCGGCGGGGACGGCGGCGACAGCGAGGACGACCAGGAGGAGCAGGGCCGGCTGTTCGCGCACTGGGAGGCCGTGGCTAGCACGCATCGAGTGAGCCTGCCCCGAGGTGAGCGCCGGGCCGCGGGGGTGGCGCGGGCCCGCCGGGGCTGACGGCACGAGCCAGGACTCCTCCTGCGCTGCGGCCGGGGCGAGCCTTTCTCTCCTGTTGCTTTGCCTTGCAGACATGGCAGGCCCGATCGCCCAGATGGCCCGGCACAACCAGGCTCGCGAGCCTGTGCCGTACGTGTCCCTCTCGCAGCACGGGAAGGTGAGGCCGGACCCTCTCCGCACGCCCGGGTTCTCACCCGCTGCCCGCCCGTAGTGAGGCAGGCTCTGGTGCTGTTGCCAGCCCGGGGAGCAGGAAGAGCCTCTCCCTGGCGGGGAAGGTGTCGGCAGGCGCGCACAAGCCTCACAGAGGTTCCCGCAGAAGCATCCCAGGATGGCACCTCTGGATCGGTGCAGTATTCTGGTGTTCCTGCATCTCCTCCTCTGTAGAGTAATGGCAGTGCTCAACTTTCCGGCCTTTATTTTAAAATTGGACTAGTCCTGCTGCTTTTTCTGGTCTTCTGACTTCTAGCTGCCTTCTTTACCAACCTGTTCTCTGCTGGGGTGGGCACGTCCAAGAGAGTGAATTTTCAGTTTGAAGTCTGCTCCCTGCCTTGCTCGAAACTCCTCATTGCATAGCTCAAAGCCCTGCTGGCTTTGTATTTATGCTGGTTATGTGGCTACTCTTTGAGCTGGAGATCTCAGCAGGCATAAGATAAATATGCTTCTGTGGGGAATGCAGGGCCTCTGGCCCTTGTCGTCAGACCTGAGCATGTGTTGTTACTTGTCAGAACTGCCAATCCAAACATGGTATCTTCTGCCTGAAGATCTCCTCTCCATGCTGGTCAAGTTGCACACTTCTTCTCATCTCTTGCACATATGGGTGCTTCTGAGCTTTGAGAAATAACTGCTTGTCAGACTGGTTCCTGTGTCTCTGCAGGCCTCATTGGGCTTGCTACCCAAGGCATCTGTCAGTTGTCCTCTATATGAGGAGAGGTTAACCAATTTCTTCTGGGCTGAGGTCCAGCACTCCCTGTAAAACATGTCTGAGCATGTGGGTTGTGCAGCTCTGAACTGGGGTTTCACCACACTCTCTTTCCCTGTTTTTCTGGTCCCAGGGACTTAATCTGGCTTCTTCTCCACCTGTGTTGGTCCCAGGCAGGAATGGGGCCCCAGGACTTTGTGGGAACTGAAGATCTTTTGTTGCCTGAAGATCCTCTGCCTGAGGAAGATTCTTGGAGTTTGAGGCTGGGTGAGAAGAGCCACTTCCTGGCATTAGTGCTGAGGGGACTTTGGAGCTGGACTCTTAGGGACACATTTCCCAGGTTCAGGCAGGTCATTAGTATTTGTTGCTTCTCCTGAGCTATCAGTGCTACAAGACCTCATTCTCTCAGAGGCAAGTGAATTACTGTGTCACCTACAGTGCTGTGCTCTGTCGATACTCAGTCAAATTCCCCAGCTCACATTGCAGGGACCTATTGCTACTGGATCTGTGTGAAGCATCTTCAATATTTCTCTTGGCCAACTCCTATCTGGAGTGGTAGTGCTTAATATAAGGGTCAGGCTGCGACATACCCTGCTGTTGTGACTTGCTGAGTTGATAAGTTTATTTGCAGATGGTGTGGCAGATGAGAGTTGCAAATAGTGTAGAGGAACTGGTGGTTTTCTTGCTTGGAAAAGACTCTTGCCCTGCTCTGCTTTGCTTGGTGGGACAATAGCTGGCATGGCCTCAGCTAGAAGGCTTGGCTGCAGTGTTTTGGGGCAGTCTTACTTGCATCCCACTGATGCACAACAGTAGGCCAGATGCCTTCCTTCTGCCTTTGGTTTGGCTCTCAGAGACCTGATGTGGGTGGAGGCACAGGGAGGACAACAATTCACTGTTGAGTCTGGTCACAGCTTCCTGGCTCGGTCACTGCCAGCACAGCTGTGGAAGCAAGAAGTTTGGAAAGATACCCTAAGCTCTGTGGAACAAGGTTGTCTCATGACCTCTTTAATCTGGCTGAAGAACAAAAGAACAGCAGGAAGTAGGTGCTGGTTACAACTTCCCAGCATCTCTTTATGTGTTACCTGTGATCACAGACGTGCCATGAGCTGAACTATGAGCATATCCAGGTGCAATTTTCCCCACTCCCCTTGCCCTGCTTCTGTGTTGGCTTTCTCCAGAAGACTGGACATTCTGTCTTGGAAATAGAGATTCTGACCCATCTCACAAAGTTGTCCTCTCTGCACCAGCTGGGTTCGTGTCTCTTCTTCCTCCTATCACTTCTTGGTATGGGAGAAGGATCTGAGAGGAGTTTTGTTCCTGTCTTCACAGCTCTTCTGGATGCTAGAGCTCTTCTGCCAGATTTTCCCCTCTACTGGGTGGGAGTCTTTTTGCTCATTATCTTCTGTGCATACAGTGTTCCAAGGAAAAGGCACTGTACCTGAGGATAACATCAGCCTTACTGGAGGCCTTTGGGTGCCTGGAATCAGGAACATCCTTGTGAGTAGGCAGGACAGAGACCAGAGGATGTACTGCATTCCTTGTGCATGCCAGGAGCCTCCAGACCCCCTTGCACCCTGTCCCTTGTCTGTGCCTTTCCTTTTCCTGACTTTTGCCCGGTGCTCATAAGTATCCTTGTCTGAAGTGTGTGTCATGCCAGCTCCCCTTGCCTTCTTTGTCCTCCTCTGCCAACTGATTAGCAGAGGGGCTTGTTTTGGCAGGGTTGTGTCTGCCCGCTTCTTGCCTGTCAGTGTTGGTTTTCCACCCAAGTGCTGCAGTGTTGTCAGCGTGCTTAACTCTGACTTGGCTTCTCTGTGGCCTGTTTCAGTGCGAGGAAGCAGCCTATGAGGAGCGGCGTTACCCAGCTGGGAAGTGGGCGTGTGTCACCAAGGGGGAGCCCATGTATGAGCAGAGCATCTCCATGAGCTTCATGAAGCTCATGCGCTACATCTGCAAAGAGAACTCAGTAGGTGTGTGCAGTAGGCAACGGCTGGAGGGGCTGGCAGGCTGCACAGAGGGAGGGCTTTGCCACTGTCCATCTGGAGTGGGGAGGAGCGCTGCCACTTCTGACCCACCTGTCTAACTGCCTTCTACCTCCTTCTAGGTTGCTATCTGGGCATGACAGTCCCAGTGCTCAACGAAATCCACCTGACCAAAGATGAGACTGAGCTGGAGCGTGAGGTCATAACTGCCTATTATCTCCCAGGAGAGTTCCAGCAAAATCCTCCTGTTCCCATGGACCCTGAAATCCACATCACTGAGAGGGCACCGCTCCGGGTTATAACCAGGTGACCCCAGCACCAGAGGTGTTTTCTCAGCTCAGTGGAGATGTACGAACTCCCTGCATGGCTGCTGTGGTTCTTTGGGCAGAGGGATGGGAGCCCTGGCTGTGGGAAGGGGGAATGTGCTGGCTCTGTTACTTATGTTGCTTATGTTGCTTCCTTTGCTGCAGGGTTTTCTATGGGATGACCACTGAAGAGACAATTCTGCGGGAGATCAATCTCTTCTGGGAGCTCTTGGGCTCCACAGACACTGTGCTCAGGGAAACCTACATTGTGGCTTCTTATGAAAATCCCAGCATCCCTCAGCGCCGCAATGAGATCTGGTTCATCTGCCGAGCAGAGTGAGTCCCCTCTGTGACCGCAAACCATCCTGTGACTGGACCTGGTGCAGATGGCAGTTCTGACCCAAAGGAGATGGAGCATGTCCTGACCCACTATTCACCCACAAAATGACATACCAAGAGACTGCGGGGTGGGTTTGCAGCCGGCCCTGCAAGGGTTCTGTCAGGGGAAATCCTGCCTGATCTGCACTTCACCTGCCCCCACAGGGGCCAGCTGAGGCTGGAGCTGGCACCAGGGACAATCTCTGCAGCAAGCTACTGGTGGGAAGCATGTGGTGGGGGGTCATTAAGGCAGTAACCATGTGGGCTTGTGCAATGTGCTAGCCTGACCTGTGCTCCTCTCAGCTCTGAGCTGGGCTTGCAGAGCTGTGCCAGGTATGCCAGTGGGGCTTGTGGTTGGCAGAAGCACAAGCTGATGGTGTCTAGAAAGCAAATGACTGTGTATAAGGTGTGGGGCTCTGTGTGGCCTCTGGCCTGCTTCCTGTGAGAATGGCTGCATGTCCCGAACAGAGCCACTGAAATGCTGCTACGGGGACAGTGTGATTTGAAGGGGGAAAGGGCTTGAATTCAGGTGAGAATCCTGAATGTTTCCTGCCGGGGTGGCTCTCTTTGTACTGTTGGATGCCTCCCTGGCTGTCACTCAACAGTCGTCAGCCAGGACTGGGGCGTTGGCAGCCTTTGTCCATCTATTGTGGGTGCTTTTTTGCAGACCTGCTGCTGAGAGGGACAGGTGCTGACAGCAGCAGGCGTGGCACCACTGTGTGTTGTGCATTGATCAGTAAGTTTCACATCCATGAATACCGTCATGCTTTCCTGGGGGAAGCTGGCAATGCCAACAGTAAATAAACCTAGCTCAAACCACTGCAGCTACAGATCACTGATGGTGGGGATGTGGGGTGCGTGGGTTGGCTTGGGAGAGGCTTGCTGTCTCCTTCCTGAAGATGCTCCAGGCTGCAAAGCTGTGGCTAATTTGAAGGGCTCTAATGTTTGCCCAGGTTATGACCCTGTGTTAAGCCAAGCACAGCCTCTGCACTGCTGCACGTGCTGCTTCTCTTGCTACTGCAAACAACTCTGGGCACGCTCCCCTGCCAGTAAGGTGCTTTGTTGTTGGATGGGGTCTGCTCTAGCCTCATTTTTCTCCATGCAAAATTTGGATCCTTTAACTGTACTGCACATGGGCTCCTGATCTTTGGGGGTGAGAATTCTAATGTGACTGTACGTCATGCTGGTTGGCCGCAGAAACACGTACTTCTGTAGGGATGTGTTTAACTGGCTTGGTGTCAAGGGACTTGTGACTGCTTCTGACCCAGTTCCCAAGGGGTTTCCTCCTGCTGTGACTGAATGTGTGCTGTGTGGCTCACTGCCTGCTGCTCAAACTCTGGCTCTGGCCCTTTGGCCCTACACTGCAGCTGGAGGGTAGGAATGGGGGAAAAGCCAGGGCCAGCTCTGTGGTCTCACTGCCTTTAGCAGCACAGGTGGCTTCTGCCACTCCTTTCTTCAGTCAGATGCCGTTCACTGGCCTCTCCAGGCTGGCTTGCCCTCTGGCAGCAAGGAGTCTGGCTGCCTAGCTGGTGGCTGTGGGGAGAGTGGGGCTGAGCATGTTACATCCTTCCCTGCAAGGGAGCCAGGAAGCAAGGAAGCTTCAGGCAGAGTCTGGGCAAGCACAGCAAGGGCAGACAGTGGTTTCCTGGGTATCTTATGGTGCAGTTCTTGTTCCTGGGGCACTAAAGGCAATATGGACTGGGAAGATGCAGTGACAGCCTGCAGCTCTGAGGCTGATGTGGTAAGTGCTCCTCAGACAAGTCATGATACCTGGGTCAGCAGTGCTGAACTCACTTTCTCTCCTGGGGAAAAAGCAGCAATGCTCTTATGTGAGGCTCAGGTCAGGTGGCTCAGTATCAGTGGGAGAGAAAGTCTGCCAGTGTGTGTGGGACAGAGACACTTTCTCTTACTACACATTAGCTGCTTTGCTTGTCTTGAGTTGCAGGTTGAAATAAAACTTCCTTTCTAGAGCTTTTTGAGTAAGGTACCACTTCCTCTGAGGCTTCTTTGTCCCCAACCACAACCAGAACAGCTTTTGGTGGCAGGAGATGATGGCTTCCCTACACGAGGGGACTGGTCTGTGGTTACTGGCAAAGTTCCATGGCTTCATGCCCTGTGGTAGCAGCTCCGTGGTCTTCCAGGAGGTGGTAATGGAGGCTTCTGGTGCAGCACCAGAGTGGCACTGCCACGCAGGGCAGCAGCACGCTCCAATCCTGTGCCACAGGTTTTGCTGAGTACAGGCTTCAGCATCCTCTGTGATGGATTCAGCAGCGCTTGCGGGGATGTTGTGTGCCTGATGGCAAGACTTCCATGCAGTACCAAAAGCAGATAGCATTTTGGAGGCTCAACAAACTGGCTGGAAAGCTGGCGTTCAGAGCTACAGCTGTGAAAGCCCGTGTTGCAGGACTGCAGCACATTCTGCCGGAGGCATTGGGTCGGGCAGAGAGGCCTCCAGCCATGCAGATGGCCAGACCAGCTAATGCCTCGGCTTGGGCCCTGCAGAGGAGCAGCAAGGGGCAGGCTTCTTGTGCTGTGTCCAGCCCTCTGCCCCTAGCAGGGTGTGGAGCTCCTGGCCCCTGCTGCCCCAGTGCCTTCATAGGGTCTCTCACAGCGGTACAGACCGGGAGCTTCTGCCATCAACTTAACAGCCCGACTACGAGGAGCTCCTGGGCGGGAAGGGACCTCTGTCGCTTCCTCGCTGCTCCGGGCACGCCGTGTTCGGCAGGAGCAGGGGTCGCGCGGCGCAGGGGCCCCCGGCGCGGCCCTCACGGCCCCCGGTACCGGGGAGGCTCTGCACGATGACGCCGGCGAGCCCCTCGCCTCGCGATGGAGGCACGGAGGGTCCGAGCCTGGCACCAGCCGCGGGACCCCGCTCCTCCCGACCCCGCCCGGTTTCCGGTGGCTGCCCCTCCCCCGGAACCCCTCCCGCCGGCGGCGGCGGGCGGGGCAGCAGCGGCATGGCTGGGGGCTGGCGGGCGCGCTGACTGGCGCGGCGGCGGCGAGGGGTGCGGAGGATGGCGGCGGTGCGGGCGCTGCTGGTGCTGGGTGAGTGCGGGCCGGGGCAGCCGCCGCAGCTTCCCCCGCCCCGGGAATACAGGTCCCGGCGGCGGGGCTTCGCGCCCCCTCTCGCGTCCGTAGCTGGGCCGCGATGCGGCTGACGGCGGGGCGGGGGGCTCCGGGGCTGAAGGAGGTGCGGCCGTCCCCGGGGCCGAGCCTCCGGTGGTCTGCGCCCCCTCGGGTTGGGGAGGGGGCCGGGGGAGGGGGGGGAAGCTTCGGGGCTCCGGCGCGGAGCAGGGGCTGCGTGGGGCCCTGTGTGTTCCAGCCCGGGGGCGGCCGCGCCCCCGCCCCGCGCAGCCCCGGGAGCCACCGGGGCGCCTCGCCCGGCTCTCCTTCCCCGGCGTGCGCCGGCTCGCCCTGCCCGCCCGCCCGCTCCTATGGGGGAGCGTCGTGCCTAAATCCACAGGGATGCAAATGCGCCAGACATTTGCCGTCTGGGAGGTGGCGAGCAGGCGCTCCCGGAGCAGCCGCGCTCCGGGGAGGGCTCCCGGAGGCCCCTCTAGCGAGGCTTGGCCCCGACCTGCGCCCCTCCGGGCTCCGTGGAGAGAGCTGAGACTGGGAAGGTTGTTTGTGTGCAGTGGTGGGTGGTTTTCCTATGAAATCTGATCAGATCAAAACTCGAGAATAAACAGTGGGCGCGCGGGGGGGTTCCACCCGTGGAGATTGACCTCCCGGCTGCTGGAGGGGTTTTGTCCCTTGCTGAGCGCATCTGGATGAGCCCTCTCCCCCGCCCCCCGTGCCACCCTCCATGCCGTGTAGGGTGTGAGCCAGCCTCCCTGCCCTGCCCTAGCTCTGCGGCCCGTTGATTTGCCTGGCTGCTTGCTTTTCACGTTGTCCAACTCCAACTACAAAGCCCAGACCCACCTTCCCTCGCTCTGATCCATGGTGTTTCTCCCCCGCTGGCCTCTTAGCACCGTTTCCCTTGTCTGAGGAGCCCAAGGTCTTGGCTGTGGCACGAGAGCCGCAGGGGCTGTGAGCTGGTTTTCAGCCTGGCTTTGAAAGGTCCCACGGCTGCCCCATAACAGAGCACTTTGTTTCTTCTCTTTGGAGCCCTGCAGATGGGGAGGGTCCTGCGTGCTCGTAGTAGCCGTTTGCAGTCCTTTCTGTCTCACTGTGTGCACAGTTGTAGAGTTTGCTTTCCAGTTTCTGCTGCAAAATCAAGAGCAATCTTAGTTTAGCACTTGGGTAGGATACTGCCTCTGAGGGAAAGATATCTGTAGCTTCTGCCCTTCCATATCTGGAGGTGTGGCTGAGCCCTGCTGCCAGGCGGTAAGTATTGTCCAATTTACAGCTGATAAGCATGAAAAGCAGCGCTTACTTAGCTGATTAGCGCCGTGATTGCAGAAGGTCTTGGCAGCCTTCTGGGAAGGCTGTTTCTGGAGAGGGAGTGCATGCTTAGCTTGGGCCCTGGATTGAAGCCACAGGGCCCTGTGAACCTGCCACAGCATTCACCTAGCTGCCAGCAGGCCACTACCGGCAGCTGGGATGTGCAGACCTGCCTGTGAGGGCTGTCGGTCGCCTTTCCTACCAGCACACTCCGCTCTACAGTTGCTGGAGTTTCTGTGCAGCTCCAAGCATGTACACTACTCCTTGTTTCTCTTGCTGAGCAAGACCATGTCCTGCAGCACTGGGAGGAACATGCTGCTGTTGGGCTCTGAGACACTAAAAAATCTCAGATGGTGAAACAAACTGTTTGACATCTAGGTTTTTACAGGCTAGTGGTAAGTTTTGTGGGCTGCAAGGTGTCGTCTCCCTTTGCCTGTAGATGCTGTTTGGAAAGAGCACTGGGCAAAGACCTGTGAGGCATGGAGGCTCATGCAGGTCCTTTGCCATGTGTTTCAGAAAGGCTTGGTGCCTGGACTGCTGGTCCTTGTTCCTCCGTTTCCGTTGTTCAGTGAAGCTGTGATCTTTCTGGCAGTGGCACTGCAGCATGCCAAATGTGTGCTGACTTAAGCTGGAACATCTGGTTGAAGTGCTAGCAGAGGAAATATTTGCTGAGTCAACTTTTCTTTAAAGCGAAAAAAACCCCAAAAGGTCAATTTTGTTCTGGAAATGCCTCCATGTCCTGTGGTGAGCTCTGTGTTTCTGTATGGCAGTACTTTTCTCATGTTTGCTAGCAAGCCTGGTCTTAAAGAAGAAAATTTCTGAAGACGGTAATGATCTGATCCCCCTTGGGACTTGGCTGTGTTCAGATGGGGCTGTAGGCGGGCTGGAACCCTGATGTGGCAGGAGCTTCAAAGACATGGCAGCTCCATAGTCGTGGCCATAGGCACTTCTTTGTCTGCACAGTGGGGTCCTGAACCACTGTGAGCTGGCACTGATCAGAG